TTTTTTTTTTTTTTTTTTTTTTTTTTTTTTTTTTTTTTTCTGGGGCCGGGTGTGCCGACACCTGACCCCTGGGACCCTCGCCGGGGCCCCGGGCCCGGGGGTCGACAACCCTGGTGGAGACGAAGGGAGGAAGAGGAAAGGAGAGCAGAAGAGGGGGGAGGGAAGAATGAGAGCGATGAAGAAGAAGAGGAAGAAGAAGAAAAGGAAGGACGGCGAGGAAGAAGAAGAAGAATTCGACGACTATGACGAGGAGGAGGTGAGGAAGAAACGAGGCAGAAGGAGAAGAAGGCAAAAAAAAAAGGAAAAAAAATATAATAAAAAATTGTTGGTCACTTACCTGCGCGTCGGCTTCGGGATCGATGATGTGGCAGTGACAACGAGGACGAGGAGTTGCTGACGTGGCGATAGTGACGACAACAGGTATGAGGCGCTGGCTTGGCAGCGATGACAACGATGGCGATGACGTGGCGGCGTTGGAGACGATAATGATGGTGACGATGTCGATGACGTGGCAGCGCCGGAACAGTGAGGGAGGGAGGGCTGTTTGCCGCTCCGATACCAGTGTGACGAGGCAGAGGCAAAGCAGCGAGGTGGGAGAGAGAGAGGGAGAGTGAGAGCACACACACACGCTCCCTCAACTCAACGCAGACTCGACACGGCTCGACGGACGCAGAGACGAAGTGGCAAAGTCGCAAAGTCGCAATCTTGGATTCCAAACACAATGTCGCAGCAAGTGACACTGAAGCACAAGCACTGAGGCTGAAAACTGAGTGTCCAAACTGGGCTTTGAGTCCAATCTTTAAGCACCAGACTCAAGTTGAGTCCCGAGGGCAGAAGTGCAATTTGCCTCGGGGCTGAACTCAGAATCGAAGGTATGAGCCTGGGCGCCAGAATGCCGGATGGCCCCAAGTATTGAAATCCCAAAGTGCCAGAGGAGGAATTTGAGAACAGGCCCCAACTGCAGAGGGCGTCAACAGTCAGGAACCGGAGATCAGAAACTAGAAAATAAAATAGCAGCCTGGCGGCTGGTAACCTGCGGACCAGGGATCGAGCCCTGGTTGAGTCTGTAACACCCAGACTACGATCACACAGCTGCACTACTCGCCTACAAAATGACAAAGCAACCAGTTGACGTCAGCAGCAGTAACCAAAGTACATGCAGATGTCGACCATGCAGACCTCTGCCTAAACGAGGTCGTGCCCTCACATCATCTCCCTCATTCGCCCTCTCCTGCTCACCCTCATCTTCTCCTTCCATGGCTCTACACCAACCGAAGACCACCACCGAATCCCGCTGACCCTTGTCCAAGCCCAACCCCGGCTATGGGGGCTGGGATATGGTACTGCCTTCTTCAGCGCCCTGCTTCTCCTGACGCCCGCGCGCGCCCAGGCTCTTGCAACTAGCGCAGCAACACGCGAGCAATCGCTCCAGCAGCACTGCCGCATGCACTCACTATTGAATGAATGGCAGGCAGGCACTTTCCTACACGGAAAGTGCTTGCCCGTGCTAGCTGCCTGGGCCTGGCGACTGTGTGCCCAGTAGCTTCACATCGGGCCAAAGTGCTGGCCAGGCCCATTCAGACAGCGGCCTGGGACCGAATTGGTTAGGTGTGCCCAACCACCCGGACGCAAATGTGTGGTGTTCCCTGCTTCTCCTGTGTGGCTGGAAGAGCCTAGAAGGCTCACGAATATATCTGATTCTCACAAGCAGGGCAGATGTAACCAACTGGCGCATGGCAACTGTCTGGCGCCCACCAAAGCTTCGCAAATTTGACGAATTCAGGCCTCATTGAGATTCAGGGGCTCGCCTTCACTTAGGGCGGGCACAATGCAGGTATGGCGAGGGTTCAAATCCTCGCACACAGCAGGGAGAGAATAGGCAGAGAACAGAACCCCCACTCTCGGACCTATCACTATTTTTTTCCTTGGCTTCCAGTATTGCATACCCCCACAGCCGGCAGCCAACAGGCCGGCTGGTCGGCACCTACCAGTCGGGGGTTGTCGGCACCCCGCTCCAGAACCCTTAATAACCCCACCAACACCCCCATAGCGGGCCCCAAATACCCCCATACACCCCCAAACCGCCCACAACACCCTCATTACACCCGCCCCCAATACCCCCTATATCCCCACTATAGCCCCCCTATACTCCCCACCAACCCCCCATTCCGCCCCCCTCCACCCCCAAAAGTTTCTCAGCGGATTTGGGCTGTACTCAGCAAGTGCAGTACAGCCCCCAACTCAAATTTGAAAAAAATCAGTGGATGGTTGTTTTCTGATTGGTCGGCGGACAGCCGACCAGTCGGCCCCACTGGTCGGCTGCAATACGGTCGGCGGTTGGGGTCGATGGTCGGCAGGTATGCCACCCTGTTGGCTTCCCTGAAAACATGTGATAATGCAAGTTGAAAGAGTGTCATTCCATTATGCATGCTACAAAGACTGTTGCAGCATCTTATCCATTTCTTTGCAACAAGGGACACTCCTGGTTCACACCATCAATGGAAGGTGCAAAAAAGCCAATCTCCGAATCAAATGTGAGCAATACCACAATACGCTTTTGAAGTTAACTACATGAGTTACCTCCAGTAACCATCATCCACTCAGCAAGACGAGTTCCTCATTTTCCCTCTCTCGTTGAACTCTGCTCAGCTATCTCCACCCTCCTTATTCCCGTCCTGTGCTCCAACTCTCTTTGTCCAAACCTCCTCCTCTCCCCTTGACTCCTGCCCCTTCTTTAGAGCCACCTCGTTCCCATCTGCGTCCCAACACACCATCACACCTCCCTCTCAACACTGTCAACACACCATCACCCTTCCAGCCTGATCCACACAATGACGAATAGCGGCCAAAAAAATGTGAATTTACTTCTATGTTCTTTACCTTCACTTCACGATCCCACTCAACACTGTCAACAATGTCATAGTGTTAGATGCCCAGTTGGGTGATGTACATACGAAACCGAGGATCTGCAATGTGATGAAAAGGACTGAATGGACAATGCAGTGCAAGTGGAATCTCAACAAGCAATGTGCATTCCGATACATACAAAATGGTGCTTTATAGCGCAGGGAAGACTTAGATACAAGACCTGACCTGATCGAGACTGACCTCTTTCAAGTAGTAGAAGATAGCGAAGCAGAATGCTAGAATACTAATGACTAGCCCATTCAATGTTTAAACGCAGACCAGACATACATCATGCTCATCACAAGGTGTGAAGGAGCCTGGCGCTGTACACAGGAAGGAAGCGCCAGGTCCAGACATACACAGACGAAGAGGAGGGGATCAGACGAAGAAGAGGGGGAGGAATGTCGTCAACACCGAGTCTTTGTCACAAGTCCCAAATAATCCCTCGTCGAAATGTCTGAAGCCCAAAAGTCGAGTCTGGATCCAATGTCACCAAGCTCTCTCTCTCTCTCTTTCTCTCGTAGTCTGCTGATGCAGTGAAGTCAGGTAATGAGAGGGTGAGAGGGAGCTGGTGGACTGAGAAGAGGAAGAAGAAGAACTCTCTCTCTCTCTCACGAACCAGGTACTAACCTGTGAAGACGAAGCTGGAGCAACGGTGAAGACGAAGCTGGAGCAACGGTGATGCAGGTACCTCGAAGACGAAGCTGGAGCAACGGTGATGCAGGTAAGTACCCCTGGCCTCCGCCCCATCTCTCTCTCTCTAGTGCTATCCTATCTATGGCGCCCAGCGCTGAAGACTACAGCTACGCTACTAGCGCCCAGCGCTGAAGACTAATGCTAACGCTACTACTACTCCTGCAGCGCTCCTCCAGAGTGCTGCTGCCGAATCCTGAAGACTACTGACTGCCTCCTGCCTACCTGTGAAGTGCATGGGAAGTCCCTATGTACTATCTCGGCCTGCCTCCTGACTGCCTCCGACTGCCTGCAGTTGCAGGGCGGGCAGTCCAGGAGGCTGCTCTTGCCAATGCCGAACTGAGCCAGGGGCTGGCGCTGCAGCTGTCGTGGGAACAGGCCAAAAATAGCCTGTTCCTAAAACCCTGGTTTGGTGCCTGAGTTTCGGGGCAGGTCGGCCTGATGAGGGCCTGAAAATGGCCCTCAGTTTCAGGCTAAAAAGGCTCATGTCGTTTTTAGTCTGAAACGACACAGGGCCTGTAGGCCCCTGTTTCCAGCTTTTCGAGCTGAACAGACACGGGGCCTGTAGGCCCTAAATTTGAGGCTTTCGGCCTGAAATTCAGGCTTTTAGCCTGAAGGACGCAGGGCCTGGAAAATGGCCCTCGTGTGCAGGCACAGCATGTAACATAGTGTTGTACTCGAGTGCAGCATTGGAGTGGGCCAGTTTTTTGCAGCACCTCCCCAACATCCACGGTGCCCTGACAAAGCCAGGCACTCAGGTCTGCCACCATCGGAGGGATCAAGAAGAGCCCCAGGCCACAGAGCACATCCGACGTCCACAATCAGTCCACCCCCTGTCAGACGAAAGCTCTCGTGGTTAGAGAACAACACCCGTGGTCGGAAAAAATTAAGGGTGGGAGGGTAGATAGATATATCTGCAGTGTGATCCATTCCTGAATTCAGACATTTGTTGTGTGACAGGTTCCCTGATTCCTATCAATATCAGGAGTTTGGCAAACACCCCATAAGAGTACAAGAATAATCATATCAAAGTTCAAACACACGTATGACTAACAAAAGATAGACAGTAGACACTATTTGGTAGTATTTGCAGGATTTTATCATGCAGGTGGATTTGTACAGGCCATGAAGGGAAATCAACTCACCTGTAAATACTTATCCAGCTGAATGCGCCTCTCATAGACAAATTCGCCATCCAAATTATGAGTAAAGAAACGCTTGGGCGGCAACTTAAGCCTGTATTGTGGCATCTCCTTTAGCACTCCGTGCAACTGTTCAAAGTTTCGATATCTGACCAGGTCACGATCACGGATTTCAGTCATGACACCAACACGTTCACACCTATGCAAGCAACAAAAAAAGTATAAAATGATGTGCATGAAGACTGAGGGCATACTCACATGAGGACTTTCAACTGCATCGGACGTCAACCTGGTAAGATATGTCCTAGAAAGTCCTGGTGTGAGTATGCCCTAAGATTCTCACCACAAGTTGTCATCCGCACAGAACCTTCAGACAGAAGAGAGCAATCACAGACGAGCAGTACCGTAATGAGAACTCCAGCGTAACGGCAGCCCTGTCATCAAACCATACGTAAATCGCAAAGGAAAGAATGCCACCCAGCCGGTCTTTAAAAAAAAACAAAAAAACAGGCAATTATGGGGAGTGACGGTCCAGTTCCTTTTCCTTTTCGTTTTTCTTGAAAAAGGGTTGCGGGGTGTCAGGGATAGGTCCGGCAGGAGCCTTCACGCACTGTGTTCAGCCTACCTGCCGGCAGGAGGCTTCATGCACTGGGTTCAGCCACAAACACAGAGGTCACTCAAGGCAGGTCACACAACCTCGACCACACACACCCGGGAGTGTTATCCTGGACCGGAGCTACCAGGGTGCTGCGCGAAGGTGTACCCCCCGCGAACTCAGGGTCCTGCATCCCCGAGGCACCCAGCTGGGAGGCCGAAGTGGCACCAATGGGGCAACCACGACAGCAACCCCAAGGGGAGGCTCACACAGCTGTTTCCGGGACCCAGGAAATGTGCACTTGGGGGCCAACACCTGATGGGCCCCAGTTCAGTCTGGTACTCCGAATTACCCCTGTGTACATGTGCACCCCTGGGTGCGCTCACTCAGTGTGCGAATGGCCTGTGTGTTGGTCAACGCCCGCCGGCGCCAGCTATCAAGACCCGTAGCGGTAGCAGTAATACAACACAAACAACCCTACGCTTCCTTCCGTCTGAGGCACACAGCTGACTTCTGAGTTTTGCTCATGGACTGAATGCCTTGCTGAGTTTCCCGCTTGCTACTGAGTTCTCTAAGTGTGTGTGTGTGCACGCTTGCTGGTCTGCATGACTGTCTGAGTGCTTGTTGGCTTGTGTGTGTGTGACCCGCAAGGGCACTTGTTCGTTCATCGGGCCCGCAGGGCCGGTACTTGCCTGTGGCCGTAACATTGAGGGTTGGAGCAGGGAAAACACTCAAGTGGCGGGGGGAAGAGGCCCACAACACGTGACTGCGCAATCGTGTTTGGATACAGTCAAAGGTACGGTTCCCACTCACTTGACCAATAGCCTAGGCACAGATTTCTTCGGGTGCACTGACTGGTTTTCCTAATGAAGGACGTAGTCCGTCTGGAGGCAGGAGACCTTATTGCAGCAAGCAACAAAAATACTTTTGTTCGCGGGAGGTTTCGTGACAGCAACCACCTAGCTGTGCTTGACTTGTTGGGAGGAGAAGGGGAGGCCGAACCAGATGACCCCACTCTTGGCAACGGCCAAAAACAGGACGCTGATACAACCTCTCTTCCACTCAAGAATCTGACATGAAGAACGAAGATGAGAAATTCAGTGCATTTAAAAAGACTACCCATGGTAAGGGAAACCAAAACCGGAACTCGGTGAGAGGCTTTGTCGCACTTCCAAAGGGAGCCAAAATCCCAGCCAAACCGGAGGATGCAAGTACTAAACCTTGGTTGGACCTTCGGATCAATGAGGCTGAATGGAAGGCTAGGATGAAAACAAACCATGAGGTACAAGATTGTCATAGGCTGCAGGGAAACCAGAATCGGGCGTAGAGTTGTTTTCAGCACCCTCTACGACAAGGGAGACTGAACCTGATGTAGATCAGCAGTCCTCTCTTGAAGCCCAATCGTTTGCCGGTTCCAAGGCTGAAGCTTGTCATGCTTTGTATGTTGAGCCTTGGGAGGAATCTGAGACGATCGCTATCACTTAAAGCATTGGGCTGAAATGAAACATTAGCATGCTCAAGGGATAGAAGTTAATCTTCTTCAAACTTCTCATAAACCACCGTTACCTCCGTGTGTTGATTGATTGTCGTGCTACGGCTAACTTCATGTCACCACACGGGATACGCGAAGTGGACTTGGGAATGAAGCAAGTGGCTTTGCAGAACCCTGGTCGGACTCAAGTAGGCAACACAGAACTTGTCTCATCTACGCGTGCAGTCAAAGGTGTGCGCACTACCTTCAACAAGGATACGACAATCACCCACGCATTGAACTTCTATGTCCTTGACAAGTGTCCCTTCGACATAGTCCTTGGCTTGGGCTGGCTGCAGCCCCAATGCGAATGGACCAAGTGGAAAGAGCCACTTTTCATGGTCAAAGATGCTCAAGGGAACGTGTTTCCCGTCCTCTTGGATGAGAAGCACGGATCCCCAGTGACTTTTCTCAATGCCATGCAGTTCTGCAAGAAGTGGCACAAGCACAAAGAGGATGAACAATTGTATGTTGCCTTCGTTCGCCCTACTCATGTGCCATCTACTTTTACGGCTAGTACTAATACTACGTCATGTAATGAATCTACTTCTAGCACTTCTACTTCTCTACCTACCCCTAGTCCAAATGACTCTACTTCAGATTCGGTCACCTCCATTCGTAAACTACGACCTGGTCTAGGTGACCCTTTTGTAATCCGATCTCCTACCTATTCCCTGAACATGCAGCTGGTTTAACACCCGGCAGGCCTGGCTTCAGGGCCCAGTACGATCGGTTGCTCAAAGTTGCCATCGCTAAAATGACCAAGCGAGAGCACGCAATGATCCATCATGCAAACAAGAAGTATCGACCTTCATATATTGAAGTGGGAAGTTAAGTCTGGGTCAAGATGTCTGAATTCTCAGAAGAAGAGAGAGTATCACGCAAACTTCTTTCGCTCTGTTATGGTCCGTGGGAAGTTCTGCGCCTCATACACAGTTGTTGTGCCGCCTCATCTGCGCACATACCCTGTCTTTCATGCATCAAAATTGTATATCCACTGTGATGCTAAGTCCTTCAACTACCGTGAAGACATGATTCCTCGCACAATCAATAACGGTCATGAGATCGATAGAATCAAACAGCACGTAGGGAACGGACGTAACAGACAAAACCAGGTTCACTTTATGTATCACCCGTTGGACGATCCATACTAGATTTCCAAGAAGGAACTGCTGCGCGGCGCACCTCGCGTTGTTAAAGCCTACGCGCGACAAATCGCCTCTAATGTTGTACCTAAAATCTCTGCAAATCTCACTATGACAGAGTACTCTCGAACTCTCTTTGCTTTATTTGCTTCCGGCGCGTTTGTCGAGGACTCAGAATGAGTTACTCGCTCGCAGGGACCTCGCTCTTAAGGGGGGGCTAGTGTGATGACCTGACCAAACAAGGACGGAGGCACACAACTGATTTCTGAGTTTTGCTCGTGGACTGAATGCCTTCCCGAGTTTCCCGCTTGCTACCGAGTTCTTTAAGTGTGTGTGTGTGTGCACGCTTGCTGGTCTGCATGACTGTTTGAGTTCTTGTTGGCTTGAGTGTGTGTGTGACCCGCAAGGGCACTTGTTCGTTCATCGGGGCTGCTGGGCCGGTACTTACCTGTGGCCGTGACATTGAGGGTTGCAATGGGGAAAACACTCAAGTGGTGGGGAAGAGGCCCGCAACACTTGAAGCAACGGGGATGGCCAATACCACACCCTGAAGAGGTAGATGTGCCGGGTACTTGAGGCCGAGCAGAAGAAGACAAAAGTTGGCATTTTTAGAGGAACAGTAGTTGTAGGCTAGGTCAAGGCGGGTACCATTCCAACCAGTCTGAGTCTAGGGCCTGTACGGGCAATATCAGAGTCTGCAATGATGTTTCCCTCCGAAAGGGAGGAGGAACCGGTTGCTTGGAAGGTCGAGCGGCCTGGAAGTCACCGGCCAAGAGACAAGCAGGCTGCTATACCTCCAGGCCGGGCAAAGAGCTCAGCCTCATTGTCGGTGTGCAAGTTTGGCTACACACTGGTTGGAGCGCTAACTTGGAGCAGCGCTGCTGGGGAAGGAGCAAGGACACAGAGGAGAAAGGGGGAGCGCCAGAAGTACTTCCCTGGCTATGGTGGCAGCCATCTTCATCACCTTGGTGGGCGCTGCAGCAGGAAGGTCCCCGTTGGGGCCAAGATACACCAAGAAGCTTCGAGGCAGAGTCAAGCATGGTGGCCTGAGCTAGAGCAGCCATAGCTACTTTGGGTTGTCCTTTGGACATCAGGGCAAGGCCGAGTAGTCTGCCATAGCCTCGGCCTATGAGATGGAGAGAGGCGGCCATGACTATGAAGGACCTCAAGTGATACCTGCAGTAGACGAGGGATTCGGACATTGATTCTGGTTCAGCCATTCAACGTTGTATTATTATTTCTTGTGTGAATAAGAGCGGAGGAGATAAGGAGGAGGAGAGTGTTTGGCGAAGAAGAAGAGCATTATCATTTGTCTATGCTGGTGTACATCATCTTCTTCTTCTTTCTTCCTTCTTATTATTACCCTCTCTCCTCTCAAGTTCATTCATTTCTTTCTGCAATTGGACGACATTCTACTGATGAATGTGTACTTCAAAATTGGCCAGGATCATAAGACACAGCTTGACGTCCGGGGGATGGGGGTCAGCCGAGGGGGGGTACAGGGTTCGAGTCGTTGCCACCCAGCAAGTCTATTCAATGGCTCTCACAAAAATCTTGACAGTCTACAATGCCCATGTAGACTACATCAAGGATGCATTGCAGTATAAAACTAATCTGAAGGCCTGTGCCCACAAATCATAATGGTGCATTTTGTGGTCTAGTGTTCGGAGTTCAAACTGTCACAGCCCAATAAGAAAGCAAACATCCTTCCAATCACTCCTGAAACCCGAAGGGGTGTTGCCATGCATGTGACGAGGCAAAGGCAGAGCAGCGAGGCTGGGAGAGAGAGGGAGAGTGAGAGCATACACACACGCTCACTCAACTCGACACAGACCCAACACGACTCGACGGACGCAGACACAAAGTCGCAAAGTCGC